GTCCAAAAGACGACCATCGACACCTTGCACAAGGAGGGCAAGACACAAAAGGTCATCGCTAAAGAGGCTGGCTGTTCTCAGAGCTCAGTGTCCAAGCACATTAATAGAGAGGCGAAGGGAAGGAAAAGATGTGGTCGAAAAAAGTGTACAAGCAAGAGAGATAACCGCACCCTGGAGAGGATTGTGAAACAAAACCCATTCAAAAATGTGGGGGAGATTCACAAAGAGTGGACTGCAGCTGGAGTGAGTGCTTCAAGAACCACCACACACAGACGTATGAAAGACATGGGTTTCTGCTGTCGCATTCCTTGTGTCAAGCCACTCTTGAACCACAGACAGCGTCAGAAGCGTCTTGCCTGGGCTAAAGAGAAACAGGACTGGACTGCTGGTGAGTGGTCCAAAGTCATGTTCTCTGATGAAAGTAAATTTTGCATTTCCTTTGGAAATCAAGGTCCCAGAGTCTGGAGGAAAAGAAGAGAGGCACTTCATCCACGTTGCTTGAAGTCCAGTGTAAAGTTTCCACAGTCAGTGATGGTTTGGGGTGCCATGTCATCTGCTGGTGTTGGTCCATTGTGTTTTCTGAGGTCCAGGGTCAACGCAACCACATACCAGGAAGTTTTAGAGCACTTCATGCTTCCTGCAGCTGACCAACTTTTTGGAGATGCAGATTTCATTTTCCAACAGGACTGGGCACCTGCACACAGTGCCAAAGCTACCAGTACCTGGTTGAAGGACCATGGTATCCCTGTTCTTAATTGGCCAGCAAACTCTCCTGACCTTAACCCCATAGAAAATCTATGGGGTATTGTGAAGAAGAAGATGCAATACACCAGACCCAACAATTCAGAAGAGCTAAAAGCCACTATTAGAGCAACCTGGGCTATCATAACACCTGAGCAGTGCCACAGACTGATCGACACCATGCCACGCCGCATTGCTGCAGTAATACAGGCCAAAGGAGGCCCAACTAAATACTGAGTGCTGTACATGCTCATACTTTTCATGTTCATACTTTTCAGTTGGCCAACATTTCTATAAATCCTTTGTTTTTATTGGTCTTCAGTAATATTCTAATTTTCTGATATGATGAATTTGAGATTTTCATTTGTTGTCATTTGTAATCATCAAAATTAAACAAAATAAACATCTGAAATATATGAGTTTGTATGTAATGTATGAATATAATATACAAGTTTCACTTTTTAAATGGAATTACTGAAATCAATCTACTTTTTCATGATATTCTAATTTTATGACCAGCACCTGTATATATATATATATATATATATATATATATATATATATAATATATATATATATATATATATATATATATATATATATATATATCTAAAACCCTAACCCTAACCAAATCATTTTTAAACATCAATACTTGTACTAAAATATTCTTTTTGTCATGATTTGTGGACATTAAGATCTAAAGAGAAGCGTCATCTCCTGGGTCTCATCATTGTTGTTTGAGAAGCCGCATTGTGGTGCGATGTGGAAACGTCTCAACCATGTTTGTTCTGTGGATAGGAGAGCAGTATGAAGAGGCCAGGGCTACAGGGGGCATGTTTTGAGGATTAGTTTTGCAGATATGAATTTCCCCTTTTTTATCAATGATAGCCTGTATGTCAGGAACTCATTGTCATCCCCACAATACCCATCTGTCTAGCTAGCAGGTGCTTGTCCATCTGTCCAAATAGGGAACCATTCTGATCTTCTGCTTCACTCTGGTCCACCTGGCTCCAGCTGTAGCTCTCAAACATGCTCTTTTTGGGCAATAAAGAACTTGGAGTGGCCCTCAACAGTGTAGTATGGATATAGTAGGTATTGCTTTTTTAACAGAGGCAGTCTGCACCTGCATTGAAAAATTCAGGAAGGGAGGATGTGGAATATGGCTGTTCTTCCCTTAAACCCCTGCTGCAACACATTTCACCATAGGTATGGTGTACAGTGCACGATTGTTGTAACTTGCACTTCTCCTCTAAGAAATTCTGAACTTCTTGTTGGATGCAGTGACAGATACCATCTTACTGGTCTTAAATTACAGTCCACTGTGATACATTCACATATTCTTATCACAGGTCTTCAATCCTGTCCTGTATTTTTAGACGTTTGAAAGGACACCTGAATCAAATTATTGCTTTGCATGCATCAGGAGCTGTAGATACTGGCCATTTCTTAACATGTGTACTTGTGCGTTCTCACGCGCTCGTGAAATGTAATTCGACCAAGGACTGTTCCAATTCACAATAACGCAAGACCAAGAACTTGTTCTTGTCCCTCCCTCTTTACCCGGCATGCATCAGAGAAGGCTTGTCCGTTCTCCACAATGACAGCTGTCCCAGCATGCACTGCGGCAGGAGCTTCCAGGGTCAAAAGTTCACTTTTCTGATGCCTTTGTTCTACAAAAGTACGTTTTAAGATCATTTAAAGCGAGAACATTATACTTAAAAGGTATAGTAAAGCATTTTCTTTTTCCGGATGGATCATCAAAATAAGTGGTTTTTGTACCTGTCAATCATTGAGGTGATACGTAAGGCCGTCCTACATGCTCATCCCATTAGCTATCTTTTTCTGCGCATGCGCACTTTCAGGCGTATATCTGTGATGAGCTATGGTTTCAACCAATCATTAAAACTCGCCTTTCTCACCGCGGTTCTTTGAAAATGGCCGATGTTCTACGAAGTGTATAAGAAGAGAGAAAAGCCTCACAAGAGAGAAACAAGACCAGAGTGATTTTGGGAGGTTATTTCGTGATATGCCGTACTCTGGAAGCACAGGTTGGGCTTCTCACTGATGCCTAGGCTGTCAAGTTTCTACCTGACAGATAAAGTTTGGCATGTTATTTGGAGAAATACATTTAATATTACTGCTAGTAAAATTAGGATAAATGGGCTTGTGCACGCTCTTGCACACGTGTAATAGGTGTTCCCTATCAGGTGTGGGTACAGGGTTGTGTGTGTGCTTTTGTTTTTTTGAAGTGGAGAGGGCGGGTCTTTTAAAAAATTAGCAAAAATCCTCCACTACACCTATGAGCATCACTATATGGGCCATTTACTTATTTAGTGTGTAATTTAAGGAAGGTTCTGATGTTGTGAGGACCGTTGGAAACCATTGACGCTTGAGGCTAACGGCAAACAGGGCTAAAGTTAGCCCGTCTGCAGCAGCCAGGGATAACGTTGGCCCGTCTGCAGCAGCCAGGGCTAACGTTAGCCCGTCTGCAGCAGCCAGGGATAACGTTAGCCCGTCTGCAGCAGCCAGGGATAACGTTGGCCCGTCTGCAGCAGCCAGGGATAACGTTGGCCCGTCTGCAGCAGCCAGGGCTAACGTTAGCCCGTCTGCAGCAGCCAGGGATAACGTTGGCCCGTCTGCAGCAGCCAGGGATAACGTTGGCCCGTCTGCAGCAGCCAGGGATAACGTTAGCCCGTCTGCAGCAGCCAGGGATAACGTTGGCCCGTCTGCAGCAGCCAGGGATAACGTTGGCCCGTCTGCAGCAGCCAGGGATAACGTTGGCCCGTCTGCAGCAGCCAGGGATAACGTTAGCCCGTCTGCAGCAGCCAGGGATAACGTTGGCCCGTCTGCAGCAGCCAGGGATAACGTTGGCCCGTCTGCAGCAGCCAGGGCTAACGTTGGCCCGTCTGCAGCAGCCAGGGATAACGTTGGCCCGTCTGCAGCAGCCAGGGATAACGTTAGCCCGTCTGCAGCAGCCAGGGATAACGTTGGCCCGTCTGCAGCAGCCAGGGATAACGTTGGCCCGTCTGCAGCAGCCAGGGCTAACGTTAGCCCGTCTGCAGCAGCCAGGGATAACGTTAGCCCGTCTGCAGCAGCCAGGGATAACGTTGGCCCGTCTGCAGCAGCCAGGGCTAAAGTTAGCCCGTCTGCAGCAACCAGGGCTAACGTTAGTCCGTCTGCAGCAGGCAGGGATAACGTTGGCCTGTCTGCAGCAGCCAGGGCTAACGTTAGCCCGTCTGCAGCAGCCAGGGCTAACGTTGGCCCGTCTGCAGCAGCCAGGGCTAACGTTGGCCCGTCTGCAGACGCCAGGGCTAATAGGGTATGACATCTTTAGTTTCCACACAACCAGGGGAGGATTTAGTCAATACTAGGCAGTTGCCTAGGGCCCCAAGTTCCTGGGGGCCCCATAAAACTCTGTTTACAAGTATGGTTAATACAACTATTCCTTATTTGTGCACATTATGTTTTTGATAAAAATGCTTTCGCTAAAATGCCATCTGAACGCTTATAATACTAAACATAGAGAGGAAAACAACAAAAGGGACAAGAAGAGATTAACAAAACCTAGAACAAGTAATGTATGTCTTGTCTATTAAAATGTCTGTATATGTAAAATTGGTCTGTTTTATTGTCTTCTCAGTTCAGAGGTCCTCCTGCCTGTCTTTGTCTAGGGCCCCCACATTTTGCTAAATCAGCCCCTTCACACAACAACAGACAATATTTAGAAACAGCCCAATGAAGGGGAAGGAGTATTTTTTTCAACCAGCTATACCAGCATGCACTGCAAACCATATGTTTGCTATAAAACATGCATTTTACATGATTTGGTTTTTTTTATGATAAATTTGTAATACGGTTTTAGCTGCTTCATCTCTCCTTGTTTAAAATGTCCCAGCTCCAAAAAAAAAACAAGTGTCAAACCAGAGTACTGTGTTAATTGGCTACTTTATCATTTGATGCTGACATCTGGAACATTTGACATGGTAACTTTCTTTTCTCTGAATAGTTACACTGAAGTTTTTAAAGAATGGCTCCATCTGCATGTATAGATGTGTTGTTGTTAAGTTGCAATAAACACATTTCGAAATATTTGCTTATACTGATAAAGAGTATAAAAACTAGGCTGTGATTTCCATTGAAATGGACAGTGAAAAACTTTCGTGTAACATTGATTTTTTTTTTTTTTTTTTTTTTTGACAGGAGCACTCTAGATGCGTGCGTAAAAACTTCTCATCAGCATCTGACAAACTACTGGTTACCTTTTGGTTAATAATGGAGCATGCCACCTCCCGGACCTGACTAAGGTTGAGCTCCGCGGCGTCTAGGAGAACCGGTTCCCGGCTCATCCCTATCTGGATTTGGAAGGAGATCACACCGCCTCCCCCCTCTCCACCTCCACCTTCGGTATTGGGGCTGTTCGTCCCTCCCAAAAACGGCAGCGGGCTGGGCGCCCGGATCAACGGAGGAGCACTCATGTAGCCTTTCTCTTCTGTTGTTTCCAACTTTGCCAAGAAACAGAAATCAAGTCACTGATAATCACCGGATTTTCAACTATTAGACTAAAAGGAAAGAAGCGAGGAAGCAACCTAAGGGAAGAGTTGAAGCTTTGCTATTTGCGGCTGCTCTGACGCACGGAACACCCAAAGCGTTAGGAGAGCGCAAAACAGTTTTAGAAACAAAAAAGAGAGAAAAACAATGAACAACTACAGGGAATCTAAGTAGTCTAACTCGCAGAGAGACGGCACGATGAGACAGAGGACGGATGGAAACTGAGGGGTAGGAATGACTAGTTGACTGGACCAGAGAGCTGCCTGGAAACCAGTGAGGCGGGTGACAGAGTCATAGACGTCAATGGTGGATGCAGGGGAGGAGGAGGGAGGAGCAGAGGAAAGGAAACGTCCTGTAGTGATGGATGGAGATCATTTTTAGGAGTCCCCGTTTAGACTTGTGGAAATTGATTTATATAGCTACACAAGAAATAATTTCTTTAACTAATTACGTTGTTCAGGAGACAAAAAAAGAGGTGGAAAGTTTTGAAAAATAACAAGCATAGACACAATCAGTCATTTATCAAATTTTAGTATATTAATATTTGATACTTAATCATCCAAACCAGGCTCTGAGACTGTGACAAAAAAGGAGAGACAAAAACACGAGGACCTGGTTTACAAATATTTATTTTAAAGGAAAAGTCCAGTCATATTCAGAATTTGAACTTCTGAAGGTTTTTTTAAATATGAAGTTATTACATACTGTTTAATACATGATAAGTGATTTTATTAAGAGTATTTTTCATATGAATGTGCTTTACTGGAGGCATCCATGATTGTCAAAGAACACTACTGCCACCTACTGGTTTGTGACGTCACGGTGCGGTATCGGCTGTTGATCAAGTCCCAGTGCTGTATCTGGTGTTTGTCACAACGCGCTATTATCCAAGTCAACTTAAAAACATTCTTCTTCCAAATGTTGGCTACATGTTACGTGTTTTTTCTCTGGCCAGAAGTGCGATAGCAAATCCTCTATCTTCAAGTTGGTAAAACAACGACCAAACCGTCCGTGGAGGATCAGGAATTAGAAAGGTGGAATTACTTTTTTTCACTTTTACCATATGTATTCCAACATCGAGCTGCCATGCACGTGGGCATTGTCAGTTTCACTATAGCTCTGGTGAATTTCAATGGTCAAGTCCTCTCGAAATCTTCAATAATTGTTGTTGATTGCAGATGTGTCTAGTAGTTCCCATTGATTTTGCTTGTAAAGCGGGGAGAATGGCGCTAGGCTTACCGCACCGTGACGTCACTGCCAGAAGATGGCAGGAGGGAGGGGCTGCTATATTTGGGCAAAAATGGCCGCTCCCAGTCTCTGTGATCACAAAGAAAATAATTGTTTTTATGTTTTTACAAATGACACTAAATTCATTAAATCACTGCAAACATATTAGTTTTAGGTATAGGTAATGATCCACTGCTTACTCCTTGTTAAATAGACTTTTTCTTTTAATGGAGAAAATCAAGCTTGACAAAAAAAGTATGGTTAAATTGACAGACCACAACCCATGAAGGACAAGTGAACGGCAGATTGGTCGACCAATTACGGCCTAGCAGTGCATTGTGGCCTGCTCAAAATCAAAGACTCAGTTATGCAGCAAACACATGCAGCCTTCTTCCCCTCCAGTTGGAAGGACAGGTCTGGTGGATCCCTGGATTTAGACTTTCAGTTTTTAGATGATAATAAATAATACACGTATGTATAATATATTACATTTCTGTCAGTATATCCCTGTAATTATTAAACACATTACCTTTAATGAACTGTTTGAAGAGTTTCAGTGAGGTAATAGAGCCCATCATAGCACTGAAACATCACTGATAAAAGTCACAAATGATATTCTCATGGCTTCACATAATGGACCTTTTATCTGTACTTGTCCTGTTAGATATCAGTGCTTTTTGACACAGTTAATCACATTATTTTATTAATGATCCAAAAAAAAAAAAAACACTAAGCTGATCTTATCTGTCTGTTGTTGGTTCCAGTTTGTTTTTATAACAACAAACATTGTGACATCTTCAAAAAAAGTGATTAACAATCACAATGAATTTATTTTCCTGGAAAAAATGAAGTTTAAATGAATAGTAAATCTTTTCCATTTTGTAGGGTAACTTTTAGATAACCAATGTTAGAGATACCTTGTCCAGGAAAGACACACAAAAAAACTAGTCCTATGTGTTTGCTGTGTCAAAGCTGAACTATTGTATTTATTTACTAGTAAGTCCACAAAATGCAACTTACCTGCAGGAGCTGCTGTTCTGCTGACCTGAGGGACCGTCTTTTGATTGGGGACCACACTAGGCATCTAGGTTCAGCTTGAAGGGACTGAAAAACGTCGCAGCTCTCTGGAGAGCAGTTTTCTCTGTCCATATTTTGCTTCTACTGAACATCGAAAATAATGAAAAAATATATATATGACTGTTAGGTTTATTCAGTGATTATTATAAAATTAATGTGTGTTTATGAAACATTTGTGCGAGGGGATGCTCCACTCCTGTCTCATGATTCAGTCAGGAGACCATCCTGCCTTGTCATTCTGATGGAGCATTCTGTCTTCATGAACTGATCAATTGTTCTGTCAGAACAATACTCTGTTTGTAACCATGTGTCATGTTCTGTTAATAAAATGCTCTGCGGAGGAGGTCCAGTAGCAGACAGTGTGTTTGAGTCTGGGGTTCAACTGTCTCTCCTTTCTGCAGAAATTGTATCCATTACTGTGTATTTCAGTTCTTCTTTTGCAAAAACCTACATTTTATGAACCCGACAATGACGGATAGCAAACGCTGCCGCTCTCTTTACAGCGCGCAAAGGACCACGGTGCAAAGGACCAGCAACTGAGCTCCAGTGAGCAGCCAGAGCCTGCTAGGTTTCTCTGCCCACATTTTGCTTCTGCTAAACATAAAAAAATAATAAAGATATATGAGTGTATGCCAAGTGTTAACTTACAGTACCAGTCTAATAATAAAGTTGAGAAAAGAGAATAGGTTTTACATCCTGCTTTTTCTTTCAGCCTGCACCAACAAACAAACTCCTTTCCATGATCAACTCTTGTTTTTCTTTGGGCATGATTCCTTTCACGTTTCTCCTTTTAGCCTCCACAAGTTGGTCTTCCGCCAACTCACATAAAGAGTATTTCAAGAGGGGAGGCCCGCTGATAGCATTGATAGTGTTTAGTGCTTTATATTGGTCCGAGGAATCATTTAAATGATTAATTTACCTAATTTACCTTCCCTTCTAAATCCAGAATATATTGGTTTGCCCCACATAAGAACCTTAATAGCCAAGTAGAATAGGAGGCAGGTCTTATAGTTATCAGACTCCTCTCCTTTGAAACCAACTACCAGTTTTGTTCCATGAGGCAGAGACCCTGTGTCATGCCAAAAAATTCAAAAAACAATCCACTGGACTTTGTTTCCAAGTTTGAAGACGTTTCTCTTAGAAATAGCCTTGAGTTTGAGGCTTTATAGAGTGGACCAAAAACAAAGCCTTTTTTTGACTTAGAAAACATGCAAATTGAACCGGATGAACGGGTCCGCCCCTTAGGAATGGGCTGTCGTTTGGGTTCTTTGTTGGCCTACAGTACCTGTCTATGTCTCTGAAAGGGGGTATATCAACTAACAGCTTTTCTGGTGAGACTGCACGTATTTTATACGTTTTCATAAGTCCTGACTCAGTATTGCCCAGGGGATCCTATCAACACAAGAGGTCAGTGCAACATGCTGCACAGTCTTTGTAAGAACAGTTATTTCAGAATCTTTTGTATTCATGCAGTTTTGAGTATGCATGAATGTCTTATATATTATCTGTCCACATGTAGCTGTTTGAGTCTGCTGCACTATTGTGCCATGAAAAACAGGGTCTATAAAGGCAGTGTTACTTCTCTACATGGCAGAAGCACTGATGGAAGCCTTTGCTCTTATGCCAGATGTGGAATCTGACACAAGCAAAAAGGTAATGAAAGATTAAGGAAGATCTAGAGCCCTGTCTTGAAGCATCAGATACACTATATTGCCAAAAGTATTTGCTCACCCATCCAAATTATTGGAATCAGGTGTTCCAATCACTTCCATGGCCACAGGTGTATAAATTCAAGCACCTAGGCATGCAGACTGTTTTTACAAACATTTGTGAAAGAATGGGTCGCTCTCAGGAGCTCAGTGAATTCCAGCGTGGAACTGTGATAGGATGCCACCTGTGCAACAAATCCAGTCGTGAAATTTCCTCGCTCCTAAATATTCCACAGTCAACTGTCAGCTGTATTATAAGAAAATGGAAGTGTTTGGGAACGACAGCAACTCAGCCACGAAGTGGTAGGCCACGTAAACTGACGGAGCGGGGTCAGCGGATGCTGACGCGCATAGTGCGAAGAGGTCGCCAACTTTCTGCAGAGTCAATCACTACAGACCTCCAAACTTCATGTGGCCTTCAGATTAGCTCAAGAACAGTGCGCAGAGAGCTTCATGGAATGGGTTTCCATGGTCGAGCAGCTGCATCCAAGCCATACATCACCAAGTGCAATGCAAAGCGTCGGATGCGGTGGTGTAAAGCACGCCGCCACTGGACTCTAGAGCAGTGGAGACGCGTTCTCTGGAGTGACGAATCGCGCTTCTCCATCTGGCAATCTGATGGACGGGTCTGGGTTTGGCGGTTGCCAGGAGAACGGTACTTGTCTGACTGCATTGTGCCAAGTGTAAAGTTTGGTGGAGGGGGGATTATGGTGTGGGGTTGTTTTTCAGGAGCTGGGCTTGGCCCCTTAGTTCCAGTGAAAGGAACTCTGAATGCTTCAGCATACCAAGACATTTTGGACAATTCCATGCTCCCAACTTTGTGGGAACAGTTTGGAGCTGGCCCCTTCCTCTTCCAACATGACTGTGCACCAGTGCACAAAGCAAGGTCCATAAAGACATGGATGACAGAGTCT